ATGCTTTTATCCAAAGCGACTTACAATTGGGGAATACATAAAGCGATTCTTCTTAAAGAGGCAAACAGACAAAGGAAGTGCTTGTAAAACCAAGTTTTAGACATTGTTCAAATAAGTACAAGCTAGAAAGGGAAGGAATAAATAAAGATAAATATTTTTATTTTTTTACATATTCCACATGATGATATAAGTAAGGAACAAATTGAAATTTAAATAATTATTTGCTGAAAATCTCCAATGTAGCTCTCAAATCTCATTCAGCTCTCTTCTATGTTAGTGTGTGCATTTTGCATGATCAACATTGCGGCATATTTTATTGTAAGCCAGCATGAATGAGATGGATGGGAACGTCTCAGGTTACTTGTGTAACCATGGTTCCCTGAGTAGGCACGGGTCACGACGAGGCGTTCCCCATAGCGCCCCCTAGAGGACGCAGTTCGAAGTTACCATGAAAGGGAACGTTAATTATTTAAATTTCGATCTGACACTCCAGAGCTATGGTGAACGTAAGATTTTATGACTTTCAAATCAAATTAAGTTGAGTAAACAATGACATTAAAGTATATGGGTGAACTAACCTTTTAATATAACTGTTCAATGGGACCAACATGTCGGCCTCTAAAGAGACCAAGCTTTGCATTTGTGTGTGTCTGCGTACGTATGTGAGTGTGTGTGTGTGTGTGTTGTTCCACACATCACTTGCTGTGATAAACATATGAGAGTTATTGAAATGTAGGTCAGTTTTTAAAGAGAGAAGCATTTCACTGGATATTAATCACATGTATTCAAGAACACAGTCTAACACTACAGATGCTTCGCTATTAGAGAGGAATTTAATACATATTCGTCTCATATTTGTGCAGCTGCTGTGTATGGCCACTCTTTGTGCTTCAAAATAAATAAAGTCTTTGTCTGACACAGGCATTGGTGTGGATTCGTTTGTTTTTTTGTTTTTTTTAGGCATCGGAACAGAGATGCCAAGCATCAGTCAATCTCTCCTCTTCTTCTGGTTCTTTTAAAAAGGTCATACATAACCTGCCAGAGAAAGAAAAAAAAACAGCTCTCTTCAATATGTCAGGTAAAATTTTATTTAAGACCATTTGGACTCGATTATCCATCACAATGACCGATCTGACACCATTGTAGCGTCTTCTACCTTGTTGTCGGCTAAAAAAGAGGATCTGAAGTCAATTACCGACGTCTGAAAGCTCTCTGAGATCCGTTGCTTATACTTCAAAGTCGAGACATAATATGGCCACAATCACTCCCAGCGTTTTATACTGTGATGTAATTGGACTTCCCTGGGGCAATGACTCCAAAGGTTGGGCTCAGTGGTATTTTATCATTGTTTGAAGGCCAGTGTTTATGGGCTAATAAATGTGTTTCAAAGAATGGTGGGGCAGTCAGATTTACGAATGCTCTGGGAGGCAGGGAGGGGAAGAGAGATGAAATACACCCGGACTAAAGACACACTCTCACATTAGCCAAGACATCAGGAGGAAGAGGTGCTTTCCACCGTACAGGTGAGCTGAGATGGTAACTGTGTTATGGATTTTTGCAGAATGTTAACCATCAGATTTCTAAAATGGTCAGATTTGACGAGGACAGTGTGTTTTTATGGGTTTATTGTTCATGACATGACAAGTGAGGTTTGGGATATTTGGGGCACGTTAGGTTGCATGTTCATGCTCATGTTCTGTGGAAATTCTCTTTGTAGGGGTCCCAGAGACCTTTATGCAGTTTTAAAATGTCCTTCTTATATTCCTCTTAAATTATTTTCAAATGCTTTACTGACTAAACTTAAAAGATATGTTTATCAATCCTCAAAGATCTTTTTATTTATA